AAAAAAAAAAAAAAAAAAATCTTGACATTCAAGATATCTAAGATAGAGAATCATCCAAACATGAAAAGGAGAGGGAAGGAAAAGGAAAGGGGGAACAAAGGAGAAAAAAGAAGGGATGGGGAACTACTCATTAAACACAAACTCCCTGCTAGTGCTATACTACCCTACCACAAATGCTACTTCTCAGATCTTTACAGGGGTGTTAGGAAGGCACACTACTGTTACCAAAAAGGAGAATTCAGGCATTCGAAGTCCAAAGCAGCAGCTCCACACCAAAGCCCAATCTGCTGGCTCTACAGGCTGCCAGGGCAGATCACAGCAAATCACAGCGCCCGAACAGAACCAACTACACTGTGCTCAGAGGGAATGAAAAGGAGGGAGGGAAAATAGGAGAGGGAGGGAAAGACTTTTTTCTTTTTTCTTTCTTCTTAAAAACAGTTTTGAAACCAGAGCATTTATTTTAGGGCTGATGGTTGAAACCCTGAAATGTACTGGCTTCTACCACAGCTGCCCTCCTGGGTTCAGCTGCTGTCCTCTCACAGGACCCGCATCTGAATCGGCAACAGACAATGTTGAGGTGCCTTGTTCCACTCCATCCCACACCTCCCCATCCCAGCCCTTCAATTATACACCGTACTGCACTCAGCCACAGTCATCTGAAGGCTACTTAGGGCCACAGCAGTGACACAGTGTATGTGTTGTACTGTGACGCTTTCCAATGGATGACAGCCTTTTTGTCATGTTGCTTCTGCCCCCGAGGCAAAGGCAAGAGCAACATAAGATTTCTTAGAGAACCTTACTAAAATGAAACAGGTTGGCAGCAGTAATGCATCTGAATCACTAAACTCTAGGCCTTTCTTCTCTAAACAATGACACTCTCAGTGAACAACAGTGATACACTATTTAACTTGAAGTGAACTTAAAAGAGAATTAAGAAAAAGGAAGTGTGGGAGAGAACTACCTACCGTAGACTAGGGTCTGAACTGCCTAAATTAAGTAATGCAATATTAAGCAGTGTTCCAGGGACATCTTTTGGTCGAATCTTGGTATGCTGGGGGATGGAGTCAGGCTGTGAGAGCTCCCAGCGGGTCCTGATATGAATGATAGACTGGACAATGGCTTCACACTCCTGGTGCATGAAGGTAAGTGGTGTGCCTTGGTTTGCAATGGTTAAGGTGAACTGGTTCTCATCCACTAGGCAGATCTCTTCGATTTCAGAAGCATAGTAGATGTCATTTAAAAAGACGGACTGCCCCAAAACTTTTGTTCTCTCTGCTGAGGTTACTTGAACCGCAGTAGAACCAACCTGAAAAATGGTAGTGAGGAACAGGAGAATTAAATTCCAGTTATATAGAATTCTCAGAAACTTCAAAACCAACTCATTCACCCACCCCAACACGATGTTTGTCATTTAAATGTCACTACTATATATTCAAATTACTTAACAATTACTTATAAGTACTCTCAAAAGAAACCAATTCCACCAGAAAAAAAAATCATCCTTTAAAAAGGGCCACGAATTCTATGAACAAGTGCTTGAAGGGGTCAAGTGACCACTCTGAAAAACCATGAACTGATCAAAAGACCCATCACTGGGTCCTTTCTACTCTGCACAACTAACTGCTGGGCAGTCACAGTGAAGAGCTGCCTTCCCTCTCTAGAGCGTTCTTCTGCTCTTAGCCTGACCTTCATTGCCTTAAAAGTTCATCGATTTTATTATATCAGTTTTTGACTGCATACATATCTGTGCATCACATGTGTGCCTGGTGCCCTCAGAAGACAGAAGACAGAAGACAAATGATCTCCAGGAATTGGAGTTATAGATGGTTGTCAGCCACCATGTGGGTGCTGGGAATTGAATCCTAGACCTCTGGACTCCAGCCCCCATGAGAGTGTCTTTTAAGTGTGCACTTTTC